ATCGATTCCTCATCTTGTCAATGCAAATAAAATGTTTTTTGAATTATTCAAATCGGACGCTCCGTTCTCTTAAAAACAGAGGTACCGTTTTTGGCACTTTTTGCCCCGTATCTTCGGAACGGCTAGACCTGCCTTCGCCAAAAACTAATCAGCACGTCTCCTTATCAATACGAATCGATTTTTTTTTGAATTATTGCAATCGGTTGTTCTGTGTTCCCGAAATCGTCGACGAAAATTTGTATCCGCACATACATACACACACGTACATACATACACACACACACACACACATACATCCATTTTTTCTAAGGTATGCCAAAATGTTCAGAAACCTTTGAAATGTAAAGATATATAAAAATTTTCATTTTCGATTTTTTTGCGATTACTATAACTTGCCCTACGGGAAGTTAAAATACTATGCTCGCCGATAAGCAGCAGTCCATAGATAAACAAGTATAATAGATCGCTATGTTTGGCGATTTGACGTTACCTCGATTGAAATACAAATTTTTAAAAATAGATGGCAGCACATGTACAATATTTAAATTAACCCCTGATATCACTTCTAAATTTGTACATCGTATACAGCCCAAAATACCTGAATAATTTTTAATATTGGAAATAAGAACAAATCATACGAAATACAAAATAAATTTTCAAATATATTGCATATGTTTAAAGAACAATTAAAATTATGTTTGTATTAACAATTATAATTACAGTTATAAAATGTTTAAAAATATAATAATTATTATACATAATTATAAGTATTATATTTCCATAATTATGAATAAATTATATCTCAAAAAGTAAAGATCTAAGTGGAGAAAACCACAGAAGTATTTAACTAAACTAAGCAGGAATAACTGACTCATTAATTACTTAATGACTAATGTTAATGTTTCATCATGAAAACATTATCATTGAATTTGCCATCTAAGATCAACAAAGTGTTTACAATGAACAGAATAATGTTTTATGCACATACAATTGTTTATGAATTGAAAGATAAAAGCAATATTTTTGATTCCCAAGGTCGGTAACAGATATATCTTGAATTTAAACATTATATTAGGATGTTGCTCAAGTTTTATTTGAAGAATATTATAATAATAATACTAATCTTCAATCAAAATACATTAAAATATTATGTATGGTATAGACTCGCTTTATAAGTGTTTACATTTACTAATGTAATAGATAATCTTAGTAAATATAACAATGAACTCACATTCATGAACATTTAAACCAATACTAAATAACTGTTTTGCAACATCAACAATATGAGATTCGATCCAATCATATAACAATTCCGAAGATAATGGTATTTCATCAAACATCAAAACACAGTATCTGCTACTAATACTTTTTAAGAGAAATAGCTCAACCTAATGTTTTAAATAGACACTCATTACCACCGCTATACTATTGTATCTCTGAATGCAACTTTCTCAATGTTTGAGGACATGGCAAAATAAATATTTGTCACCAAAAATAGTAGGCCTTTGGAGACTATTTGTACAGATTTAAAGCAAGAAATATGTCCTCGGCTGTGAATTTTCTTCCTTTTAAATTTGAACACTTCTTAGAACATTTAATACTCTGTTACAATTTGTTCCTTAAATTATTGCATTGTTTATGAATTCTTCTTATCCTATCTCCTTGAATAAAGTTTGGAATGCGTCATGCATTCCTTGGGCGTCAAAAGTACTCCTGCGCCTTGTTCGTGCATTTTGCAGCAATTTGCAGGTACCCCCAAGACACCTATTCAATATAATAACATGTTGAAATATCTTGATTATATGTAATAATTGCTGCAATTATCATAAAAAAATACCTTTGCGGGAACTGGTATTGGAAAAGCTGGATATATTAATAAGCACTTGACATTTTTTTGGGTACTATAAAAACACTTTGTCATATTAAATTTCAGTTAAACATAATTAAATTATTAGAAACAATACGGGTTCACAAACTTAGGTTATGCTTAAGTTATTCGCACAGCGATTAAATACTTGACAGCTACTTACACGAACCACGAACAATTTGTAGTTGAAATGAGTACACATGAGCTATCTGTTTTTAAAAATTGGCACTACTCAAGACCAAAACAGTGCAACACGCATTTGTTCGAAGATAACTCCCCATGCAGCAGTCCTTCCCTAGACAAATAAGCATAAATAGATCGCTATCTCGGGCGATTTAACGTTACACTCATTTTAATTTACGAATTGATCACAACATGGCAGCACATGTACATACAGTATGTAAATTAACCCCTGGTATTACTTCTACATCTGTACATATAATCAATACAGCCAAAAAATCTGAAAAAAATTTAATATTTGAAATAAGAACAGAACATACGAAATACAAAATATATTTTCAAATATATCACAGACATATTTTTGAAGATTTATAAACTAAACAGAAATAACTGACTACTATTAATTAAAGTATATTACAGATATAGTTTTAAAGTACTACAAATTAAAGAGAAATAACTTATTAATATTAATTACTTAATGACTATTAATAATATATTAAAAACTTAAAAACCAAGAAGTGAAAAGCGCAGGAGTGTTGACGATGGAATGACAAAGTTTAAAGGAATGACAAGTAATGCAAAAATTTAAAAGAATGAAAAGAACAGCAAATTTTTAAAAAAGAACGAATACTTACCAGACAAAATTATCCTAAAAACGAAATATATATATATATATATATATATATATATATTGAATGGTAGAGTCTTGGATTTGTGTATATTTTGTAGAGTTTCGAACAAGAATCCAAAAATAATACAAAATAAAAAACAAGAAAAGTTTTTAAAAAAACAATTTCTTTATTTAATTATTTGTTTATTGTCGACGTTTCGGAACTAGGTACGTTCCATCTTCAGGACATCTGTCAAGAAACATGATCTTGATGAGATTTTAGCAAACAATATGTTTAGGAAAAGAAAATAGATTTTTCTTAAATAATGAATTAAATTGTAAAAAATATAATAATGTACAGAAATATGATAATATGTTCAAAATAAAAATGATAAAAATAAATGAGTGGATTATCAGAACAGGATATTAAACATAATAGAAAATTTTTTTTTTTGAAAGTTATGGAAATTTTTTAAGAAAAGGTTAATGACAAAGTTGAATTAATTACCTGTATGTTTGAATATTTGTTAGCACTTTTTCACTAAACAAGCTTTTTTAACAAAAATGATTTTGTGAGTTAGTTTTCCGCCGAATAATTAGATTTTGTAAATCAAAATTACTAAAAAATTTGTCTTTTTTGAAATTATTATTTGAAAACACAAATAATATTGTTCTCTGGATGTTGTTCGATTGGCTTTCGAAAATTAACTAAATGAAACTGGTGTGCCCTTTGTAACACGTGTAAACACTTGAACGAGAGATGTGAGATTGTATGTGTGTGTTTTTATATGTCAGGGTGTGAATACTTAAATTGTTGATCTTAAAAGGAAGTCGATATTAATTGTTTGTCAAAAAGTGTAACAAATTTAAATATGAATCATGTAATAGGTTGTGATCTGATCTAATGTTGACACTGTTAGAAACATTTATGAGGATGAGACAACTCTCCGCGAATAACCTTCTAAAGATGCAACTTTCGTGATATAAAATCTTTGGAGTGAAATTAAATGAATGGGCGTTTTCTATAGAGTGTTGTACTAGGGTACTTTTGAAATTTTTTTGTTTATGGTGGACCACACTTAGTTCATGTTGTCTCATTCTCTTGTGTACATATTGGGAGGTTTGTCCAATATATTGAAAAGCACAGTCATTACAAGAAACAGAATATACTACATTAGTATTGAGATTGGATGGGGTGGGGGATTTAATGTTCGTAAAGAATTGGTTGAAGGAGTGTAAGGATGAGCCTGATACTAAAATGTTTTCTTCTAACAAAATTTTGGCAAAATAATAATATAAATCTTCAACGTATGGTATGCTGCAGTAAATAAGATTGGTGTTTTTGATGTTAGTACTGGTATTGGGAGAATTAATTTGTGTTTTTAAGAAAGTTCGTCTTTTTTGAATAACTGAATGAATGAGATTTTTTGGGTAACCATTTTCAATTAGAGTTATTTTTACTAGGGATAAATTTTGTGGATGGAAAGTTTGGTGAGACAACAAAATAGCATGGTCTGTAAGGGAAATAATAGTGTTTATCTTATCGTTTCTGGGACAGTATGAGGAATAGTGTAAGTATCTACCCGACCATGTAGTTTTTCTATACCAATTTGAAAAAGTGCTAACAAATATTCAAACATACAGGTAATTAATTCAACTTTGTCATTAACCTTTTCTTAAAAAATTTCCATAACTTTCAAAAAAAAAATTTTCTATTATGTTTAATATCCTGTTCTGATAATCCACTCATTTATTTTTATCATTTTTATTTTGAACATATTATCATATTTCTGTACATTATTATATTTTTTACAATTTAATTCATTATTTAAGAAAAATCTATTTTCTTTTCCTAAACATATTGTTTGCTAAAATCTCATCAAGATCATGTTTCTTGACAGATGTCCTGAAGATGGAACGTACCTAGTTCCGAAACGTCGACAATAAACAAATAATTAAATAAAGAAATTGTTTTTTTAAAAACTTTTCTTGTTTTTTATTTTGTATTATTTTTGGATTCTTGTTCGAAACTCTACAAAATATATATATATATATATATATATATATACTAGCTGACCCGACAGACGTTGTCCTGTACACATATGTCTATATTAAAAAAGTATTTAACTTTTCAATATCATTCAACTTTTTTTTAAAAATTATCTATAAATAAATTCAATTAATACAATAGTTATATTTATTTTCAAATGAACAATTTAACGATATTATATTCAGGAATGCAATTCCAATAATTAATGTTATTATAATTAATATTCATTATATAATTAATCTTAATATAGTATATAATTCTTTTTTTATTTTAAACTTTTAATGTAGTAGAGTTTATTGTAATGCCAAAGGATATACAATATTCTTGGTGAGATTATTTGGTGTATAAATATATAAATTATTTGGGTTTCTTACTCTTGAGCAAGCAACATATAGTTGTCCGTGATTAAAGCACGGATTTTCTAAATTTATACCACAAAAGTTCATTGTCTGCCCTTGTGACTTGTTTATGGTCATAGCATATGCCAATCTTATAGGAAACTGCAGTCTTTTAAAAGGTATTACTGAATCCGAAGGAATTAGTGGTATTCTAGGCAGAAGAACAACATCATCTTTGAATTTTCCACCCAGAATAATTGCCTCTATAATGTTTCCCATAATTTTTGTTATTGCTAATCTTGTGCCATTGCATAATTTTGGGGCATTTAAATTTCTTAATAATATAATTGGAGAACCAACTTTCAATAGTAATTTGTGCGGCGGCATTCCTGGTAAATCAAGAGAATTTAAAAATTCGACTGGATAATTGACGATTTCATCAGGATCAATAACAGTATCAACTGATTTAAATGTGAATTCATATCCTGGCAGTATCTGTTGTATTTTTAAATTCATTTCGTCTACATCCAAATTCGTTGCTGCTAAAATTGCTCGTTTTGTAGCCACTTATGATCTTTATGATTATCCTTTAAATTTGGAAAAATATTTTCTATAAGTTTGGCTTTGCTATCAACCATATTACAAAAATTATCAGGGAATTGAATGTACTCTGTATTTTCATAAAAATCAATTCTGCCATTACCAATATCCAATAATTGTTGTGCAAATTTTGACCCCAGTGCATCATTTAGACATTGAACACGAATGTTAACCCTGAGATATAATTTCTTCACGTGGCGCCACAGATAAGACTTTTTTAAGCAGGCATTTATTTCATCAGCACGCGTCGCTCGTGGAATAATGGGCAATGTCTGTCTGAAATCGCCAGACAGTAGCAATAGGCAGCCACCAAAAAGACAATTATTATTTTTGATATCTTTCAGTGACCTATCAAGAGCTTCAAGCGAATGTTTGTGCGCCATAGTACATTCATCCCAGATGATTATTTTACATTTTCGCAAAACTTTCGCCATTCCTGATTTCTTCTTTATGTTGCACATTGCTTCTGGATTAACATGAACATTTAAAGGTAACTTGAATGCCGAATGCGCAGTTCGTCCTCCTTCAAGTAATGTCGCTGCAATTCCTGATGAAGCTATTGCCAACGCAATATTATTTTGTGACCGCACACGCGCAAGAATCAGTGAAATAATAAATGTTTTGCCAGTGCCTCCGGGTGCGTCCAAAAAAAAGAATCCGCCCTGCTGTGCCTCAATTGACGTATTGATTTGATCATATACACTTTGTTGCTCGGCAGTAAGCAATATTTCATTATTAGCAACAAAAGTAGCTAAAGCAGTTTTATCAAACTGGTGTTCACGTTGAACATCGCTGTTCATGATATCTACTGCTGCTCGGCTCGGTGCTGATATGCCAAATTGAATTAACGACATGTTCGTAATTTGGATACAAATATCTTCAATCATTATTAAGGCTTCGTTATATATTTGTTCAGAAAATTCATGATTATTATCTTGATTATTAATTTTATACCGATGCAAAATATCCTCACTCATTGGGTCTTTATGTGTATTCCATAGTGCAGATGCATCTGATGGAAAACATGTTGTTAATATTATTGCAAATAATTGTCGAATTTGATGTGCAGATGAAATCAGTGCTGCATCTGCAAGAGTCATGTCCCATTGATTATCATTCTCCAATAAGTGCAACTCACGGCACGCATCATAAAAAGTTTCATATAAAATTCCATTGACTGTCCTCAAATTTTGGAATGATCTTGGTCCTATAACATTAATCAACAACAAACGTAAATAAAAGCATTCTCGTTGCTTAGGATGAACAGTATACAATCTACCCAAATTGTTTGTCATATATATGCCTTCGAATCCTAAAACAGGAATACCTCGTTTTCTAGGTACCCAATCTTTTAATTTTTTATCCCATGTAAAATATTTAGGTATATCTGTATATAATAATGTTCTAGCAAATCTTCCAGCAATATCTGATCTATTACAAAGTTTAAAAAATGCAGTTAGAGTGGTCTTCGGAGCAGTCAAAGCTTGTTGTAATATATTGTTTTCTGTGAAGTATACCCGCTGACCGTTCTCCAAATGCACAGCCAAATGTACCACAGATGGATTCCTTTCGTGTATGGGAAAACCAAAAATACGCCAAATAGCTTCATTGCTACTGACGTATCTACCCATTTGATATCGGGTTATTTCATCATTCTCATTAATACTTTTAATTGCAAATATCGCTTTGTCGCTCCCTTTATGAACATATTTGCATATGTATTTTATTGACTTCACCGAGCTGCATAGTTCGACATTTATATGTGCTTTATAGGTTTTGCATAGCAAAGGCGAATAAGGAACTACCCATCGATTATCAACATCTATTACCCCGCCATTCGACAGTCGCAATTCAAAACATTGTCCACCATTGTCAACGTCACGTCGCCGATAAGCGGGGTAACCATCAATGTCGGTGATAGTATCGTTTTGAAATGATTTTGGAAAATGTTTTGTACATTTTCCATTCACCATGCATGGTGACATAATGGTGAGAGTACCGCATGGACCATGTATCATGTTAGTAGTTATAATATCGAACAATTCCTCATCAACATTTTTATCAGGAATTTCTGCTGAGATAATATTGTCAATCTCTACAGAACGTACCTTATCAATTAACCACAACAAAATATGTGCATGGGGTAAACCTCTTTTCTGCCATTCTACTGAGTATAACCAACAGCGTGTTTCACCAAAAACAGAATGATGCGTTATCAAATTCATCAATGATTTCAACTTCTGTTTAAAAACTCGTGCAGTTATATCATGCCTATCCATCGTTGTTTGTCCCGGCATCAGCAATTTTTTTATTTCATCCCATTTGGGGTTGCACGTAAAGGTAATGAACAGATCAGGTCTGCCATATGCACGAACATAAGCCATAGCATCTTGAATGTACTCCTGCATATGTCGCGGACTTCCAATATAAGAAGATGGAAGAATATATGCAGTACCAATATGACTAATATCATTCATTGCATCTACATTACCAAGTACTGCATCACGCAAATGTATGTATTCCTCAGCGCGGAGTTTGGCTTGATTAAACTTTATGAATCTCAATCTCTCACTCTCAATTTTCACATACATGTCGACCACGAACTGATGGAATAGCTGTCTGCATTTAAGGATGTTATTTTCTTCATTAGCTCGAATCATTAATCGGTAGCAGTAAAAGTCCATGGCACTTACTTTTTTGGCAAGTTCTGCACCTGGAATAAAATATAATAAAATTATTTTAATTATTATTATTTGAATTTTTTTTATAAAAATAAGATTTTTACCTGTATTTGGATCCCTTTGTTTAATATTCAAATGGTACCCATCTTCACCTTTCCAAAATATCAATGGATACTGCAAAGCATCATAAGAACGATGACTGTCCTGTATTATCTGCATGGTATTATCTCTCCGTTGTATACGTATATCACGCCCCTCACATAGATCACCAGCTATTACGACCGCGACTTCATTGACTGTTGGAACATTATATGCGCCAGCATGTTCTCCAACCGGCACTTTGTCTGCTCTAATAATAATAGCGTAATCATCGTTTTCTAGTCTACTTGAAAGAGTCTTAAACAAATGCAACAACTGGTTATGGTTTTTAAAAAATATTTCCAAAGAGTTTACAATATCTCTTTCCTTCATAAGCTGTATGTGATTAAATTCGCATCGCATGTTTGTTTGTCGTTCATCATCGCCCATAAAATAAATCTGTAAGAATTTCGGATTCACATCAGGCATGGGAAACAATGAACCGATTTGGTGGTAAACTTGACCTTGTATCTTAAATGTTGATTCGAAATTTCGACCATCTTCATTTTCAAATACTTTCGTAGCACCAAAAGACGTCATCTGAAAACATGAATTGAATTTGCGAATTTTTTTCAGTAATATTTTTGATTGAGACGTTGTTCCATCTAGTAGAGTTTTTAAAGGTTCCGGTGGTGTTGTTAATTTTGTCAATATAATTTTCCCTGATGCGCAACATAAACCTGCTGATTCTCCTTTGAATTTTAGAGCATGGCAATGTTTACATACTTTGTCCATATTACCAATGGTAATTAAAGAGTGTGATGAATAATCAATTTCAGGATCATAATTAAACGCCAGGCGCAAAAGTGATGCACGTACCAGTGCTCTGTGATTATTAACTCGTCGTTGATTATTTTCTCTAATGGCGGCGGTCGCACTTCCTTGCACCTCTCGATTTCTTAATGCCATATCTGTCAGTCGTTGAGTACGTCTCTCTAAACTTTCATTGGCACGTGTATTTGCTACTTGCTCTCTCAAATTCATATTGTCCATCATATGTTGTTCATGGGTCCTATTCAATCTTCGTTCATAGATCGCTCGAGCTTGCCGAGTACGTCTTCCAAAATTACTTGCCCCTCTGCGAATTCGTGGCATCGTGGCACGATAAAAGAAAATCCTAAATATTATAACCCGCTGGATAATGTGAATCACTTAATCTCACTCTCAAATTGTACTAAAACTATAACTGAAGAATACCAATATCTTCCACTAATACTGTATTATAACTGATTCTTATTAAGCCACTTTCTTAAACTATTATTTTCACATTACACACCAAAAACAAATTATATTTATCGCCAATTAATCAAGATAGCATAGACTCTCCTGGACTCTACTTTTCCGTACTTAGCCACATCCTATCAAGTTAACAGGGATAAGACACTCTTAGCGGGCGCAGAGACATCTATCGAACTAACTCGCTTTGATAATTTTATAATATTTAGTTTTAAAAAAAATCTAGTTGTACATGGCTATATATTTTTTTCTTAGAAATATTAACACAAAATAGAGCACAATATGGACATGATTTTTACCAAAGAACGCTGAACGCGTTGACATCAACATTCATTATAATACATTTAATTCATTATATTTCATATTCATTATATTTATCTTATTCTTTTTTTTCAGATTTATAGGTTAATGTTTGTATAAATATCGTGATATGTAAGTGTTATCAACATTTAAATTCGAATTATAAGTAAATTGATATTTCTTCAACTGTCATATCTCTAAATGAATATATCCATAGATAAAAGAGTATATGAATATATCATAGGCTTCCTCTCAATTCTCAAACTGATTGTGATTTTCTTTACCTATGCTCGACTGCATAGTCCAGTTAATAAGATTCGTATGGTTAGTTTAAGTTGTTGATCTTGAGTCAAAGCAGTCAATATTTAATGACTAACTTTCTATAATATTCAATTAAACATTGAGTATAATAAATAAAACATAATGAGTGGCAAAGAATTGTTTCATGATTTTTTTTAAGAACGATTACCATCAGTTACATTTGTTACAGTTTGTTAAAGTTGAAAAAAAAGAATGTCTTGGTATGTAAAATACCATCATTTATTAATAACAAAGTTTTAATAATAAGTACTTAATTCGTCAAGCACAATTTTATTTATAATCAATTTATGTAAAACTATAATGTGATTTTGACAGAAAAAATGGAGCCATTGTATGAATAGATACAATTTCTGGAAGACTTTAGAATTGGCAGAACATCTCTAGCTAAGTGCAAGATATCACAAACATACGAACACGGTGAATATTAAAATAGAAATAAATATGACGCAACAGTTTAGTAAAATATGAGCCTATCTGCATCAGGAAAATAAATGAATTTTATTGCTTAACCAAAACAAATCACCATTAATTGTCAAAACAAATCACCATTAATTATAATTTTAGGTACTAATATTTTCATAGGTTTGTGGGACATCAAACTGACAGCTATAGAGATTTTAGTGATCGCTTTGATATAAGTTATAGTACTCTGCATGTAATAGTGCCAAGAATTTTTTCTGTGAAATATGTCTCTAAAATTCATAAAATGGCCAGACAATAATGAGAAATTAGGCATTGCCAAAATGACTTTACAAATATGATTGGTTTACCCGATGGCTGCTACATTCGAATAGTTAAATCAGCAAGATATTAAAAATCATATATGAATCAAAGAGGATATTATTCTATTAAAATGCAGTAATGTTCTATATCTAGTTCTATATGTGTTTTTATATTTTCATGTATTTTATAAATCTTGTTTAGTATCAGATTCAAGCAGTTCGTCATGATAAAAAAATTATCAATGTATGTATTGGATTTCCTGCTTCTGTACATGTTGCCAGATGTGGCATTTTACCCAACTATGGGAAACTGTCTACTCGCTAAGAACAACTTAATGATATCATAAAAAATATTCAATTTGGGTATATTTACACAAATCCATAAAAATTGTAATGGAAAACATTAAAATTGAGCATACATTTGATATACCATAACAAAAAATTCAGGCAGCTGCATTATCTAGAAGAAAGAGATGATAATCTGATTTGTCACTTTATAATAACATGCTGCATAGTTGTATAATTTGGGACTCGATGATACATTTCAGTATGTCTAAACAGAAAAGGATATTATTGAGACGTCGAATATGGTTGATTTTATTCCTTATTTAATAAATGTTTGAGCGTAGTGGGCTGAGATTGCTTATATACATTCATTGTGTGAGAGGATAAAAAGTGAGTGAATTGTTAAGCATACAGTAATTGAATAGCATTGTCATACCAATCATTTGTAATAGTGCTTGAAGAAAAAGAGACTCGATGACACATTTCAGTATGTATAAACAGAAAAAGATATTATTGAGACGTCGAATATGGTTGATTTTATTCCTTATTTAATAAATGTTTGAGCGTAGTGGGCTGAGATTGCTTATATACATTCATTGTGTGAGACGATAAAAAGTGAGTGAATTGTTAAGCATACAGTAATTGAATAGCATTGTCATACCAATCATTTGAAATAGTGCTTCGAGACATTAAATAGGAGTCTATGCAGAAAAGACATGGTTTGTAGGAGGTATTATCAGATTGAGTTCTACACATTGGAAAGAAAGACACCAGGTTTGAAACAAAATGATGCTTTTGTATCAAGACCTTTTGATTATGTTTAAATTGATTATTGTTGACATGTATGCTTGTGCGATTGTACTAAATTTAATTAAATAGTAAAATATGTTTTGTCATAATAATATTATGTATTGAAAAGAATACAATATTACTGTATTAAAAAATCAAATATGTATGTATGTTCCACAATATTGTATTTTTTACTATATTAGATACTATACAGTTTATTATGCAAGCTTTTGGGTACTAATTAATTGCTTCCAATATGTTAAATGATTGATATTATGTTTGTTGTCACATATATAGTCAAATTTAGCTGCATATTAGAAACATTAATGTATTTCTGTTGCAAAACTTGCTATCTGTTTTTGATATATCTCTACATTTGGTTAACGTGTAAATTTTTTTACATATAGACATACTTTAGTTGAATTTCCGTAATAATATCCTTTGCAATTTTTGATCTGCTTTTAATTAAACATAAATCATAACCTTCAAAGAAAATTTTTAAATACATTTGTATTTCAACATCTGTTAAACTGAAATATATAATTGTATCTCGAAAAAAGATACTTTATTTAATTTCTGTCACATCTCAGCTGCTTTTCGGCAATAATATTCATAATTTTTATTCATAATCATGAATTTAAATACATGTTCTAATATAATGTCATGAGTGAAGCGAAATTTTTGACAGATGACAATTGCAATGCCCAAAATATTTTAAAGGTCAAACAATGATAAGCGGTTTTTTGTAATTTTTTCCATTTATTTCTACAATCTAACTAACAATCTATGAATCAAAACATTCTAAAAAATTTCCCGAACAAACTTCAGGAAGATTCATGAAAATCCGAATTATAGTTTAGGAGGAAATATGAAACTTACATTGTTACAGAAGAATTTTATATATAAGATATATATATATATATATTGATATCCAAATTGACATAAAACTAAATTTCTAGGATTAAAATTTGTTTACGAGACATTCTTCTTTATTATCTCTCCATTTAATAGTTATTTTGCTATCTAATCAATCATTAATAAACTTACATTTGACAAAGTCTGAATAGTTTCTGTATAAGTGTTTTTTTAAACGTAAGTAACCAAAACCTTGAACTACTTTTAATTTATACCAATTGTAGCTCAAACCTATCTTTCGTTTTAATCCAGTTTTTATTGCAAGGAGGTTTAGTTAAAACTATAACTAAACCCTTGCTTTATATAAACTGCCTGGTCTTTGAGTCTACTCTCTTAATTGAGACAATATCAAAATTCTTGCCCTTACGTTTTACGTTTCCGGAATATTTGAAAACTTCTCAGAACATTGTATACTCTGTTGGAATTTATCCTTTAAATTATTGCACTGTTTGTTAATCCTTCTCAATCCTGAAACAAAATTTGATCATACATCATATCATACATCTTCTGGGTGTTAAGGCACTCCTATGCCTTATCACTGCATTTTGCGGCAATTTGCAGCTACCACCAAGGACTTCTATTGAATATATTATTATATCATATTATTATATCATATATATATATTATATATATATATATATATATATATATATATATATATATATATAACATTTTAATAGTATTTTCATGATACATATTCATTATATGCATAATACATCATTATATACATACCTGATAATTAGATGCCGGAAAGACATGCATTTTTTTATTATATTTGGAGTTATAACAATTTGGCACATTACACTTTACCAATTAAACCTAATAATAAATGAAAAAAGTATTCATCAAAATATAATTATATATAAACAAACACATGAAAAACACATCTCAACAGGGCCTTTTTACTTAGAACAAACTTCTCGTTCAGAAGGAATACTTAGGGGTCCATTTGTAGTCGCAGATTTGGCGCTAGTGAGCCGATGAAAAAGTATTTTCAAATGTTTTATGTTGGTTACTAAGAACCGTCAGTGTTACTTTTGTGTAAGTTTACAAAATGGCGATTCTTGTTCGTTTGTGTTTGTATATTTGTTAATAAAGACTTCATCAGGAATTGCTCTCAAATGCATAGCCCTTTGACAAAATGAATAGAACAGCTTCAAACTCATATGGAGGTCATAATTGCTACATTACTACGTAGTGCATTGACATATTAGTCTAATCATAATACAGTTTAAGGAAAGAGGTCAGTCCTAGCAAATTGTGTAAGAAATCAAGTATGCGCTTCTACAAGAAAGACATAATACACAAATAAAAAGCTGTTCCAGCTGTTGAAAATTGGATTGCCACTTCACACGGATCTGAATATATTTGGGAGAAAATGAATTGCTTAAGAATGACAAATTTTGCACGGGATGATTATTAGTTAATGAGAGTTAATAATGACAGACGATGAAATGAACTAACACTATATGCATTATTCACTAAATTTCGAAGTAGAAGTTATTCCAGTAGATTAGATGTGATATC